AACCAACCTAGCCTTGGAAGCTGAATCGAATGAAGGCTTTCTCCTAATGGCTCAAAACGAAATCAACACCAATGACAGTGTTTGGTATCTTGACTCAGGAGCAAGTAATCACATGTGTGGTTACAAACACCTGTTTAAAGATATGAAGAGAATTGAAGATGGTAATGTGTCTTTTGGAGATGCATCGAAAGTGAAGGTCGAAGGAAAGGGCATAATCAGTTACTTGCAGAAGGATGGCTTGATTGGATCAATCGAAGACGTTTACTATATACCATATCTTAAGACCAACATATTAAGTCTGGGACAACTTACAGAAAAAGGTGCTTCGATACTGATGAAAGATCGAACACTACATTTGAAGGACAAAACGGGACATCTGATTGCCAGTGTCAAAATGGAAAGAAATTGAATGTACAAACTGAACCTGAGGAACATTCGAGAGAAATATCTGCAAATCGAAGTGCAAGACAAAGCGTCATTGTGGCATATGCGCTTTGGTCATCAACATCATGCTGGTTTAAGAAGGTTGGCAAAAAGGAACATGGTGCATGGACTAACAGACATGGATTTCGAAGGAAAATTCTGTGAAGAATGTGTGCTCAGCAAACAAACAAGAACCTCATTTCAAAGGAAGGCAGAGTATCAAGCTAAACATATTCTCGAATTGATACATACTGACATATGTGGGCCAATCACTCCAGAATCCTTCAGTGGAAAAAGGTACTTCATTTCTTTTATTGATGACTTCTCAAGAAAAACCTGGGTCTACTTCCTGAAAGAAAAGTATGAAGCATTAGAAGTGTTCAAAAAGTTCAAAGTAATGGTGGATAAGGCAACAGACAGACACATCAAAGCAATTCGATCTGACAGAGGAGGAGAGTATACTTCGGTGGCCTTTGAGAAGTACTGTGAAGAACAGGGCATAAGGAGATTCCTAACTGCACCATATTCACCTCAGCAAAATGGTGTGGCTGAAAGGAAGAATCGAACTATTTTTGACATGGTTCGATCAATGCTCAAAAGCAAGAACATGTCGAAAGAATTCTGGGCAGAAGCAGTACAATGTGCTGTTTATATTCAGAATAGATGTCCACATTCAAAGTTAGAAGACAAAACACCACAAGAAGCATGGAGTGGACAGAAGCCAACAATTTCTCATCTCAAGGTATTTGGTAGTATAGCTTATGCACATGTACCAGATCAACGAAGAACAAAGCTTGAAGACAAAAGTCAGAAGTACATATTCATTGGATATGATGAGAATACAAAAGGGTACAAGCTCTTCAATCCCATAAGCAAGAAAGTGATCGTGAGCAGAGACGTTCGAATGAACGAAGCAAGCAAGTGGGACTGGAACAATTCGACAGAGGTTGTTGACACAGTCGAAGAAACAACTGTAGCTGTACCAACAAGTATTCCAACAGAACATGAAGAAATTGAAGATGAAGATGAACCTCTACAACCAAAAATGAGAAGTTTGCAAGATTTGTATGATTCAACAAGTGAGGTGCATCTTGTGTGTCTTCTGGAAGATGCTGAAAATATCAGCGTCGAAGAAGCGTTACGTGATAAGAAGTGGAAAAGTGCCATGGACAAAGAAATTAGAGCAATCGAACGCAACAACACATGGGAGCTAGTCGAATTACCAAAAGGTAGTCAATCCATTGGTGTAAAGTGGGTATTCAAGAAAAAGATGAATGCTCAAGGAGAAATCGAAAGATTCAAAGCACGGCTGGTTGCGAAGGGATACAAACAGAAAGCAGGAATTGACCATGACAAAATGTTTGCGCCTGTTGCAAGAATGGAGACAATTCGATTACTCATTTCTCAAGCTGCTCAGTTCAAATGGCCAATATTTCAAATGGATGTCAAGACAACATTTTTGAATGGTGTGCTCGAAGAAGAAATCTATGTCGAACAACCACTTGGATATATGAGAACTGGAGAAGAGAAGAAGGTGTTGAAACTGAAGAAATCATTGTATGGGCTGAAGCAAGCACCTAGGGCATGGAACACACGTATTGACACATATTTCAAGGAGAATGGATTCGAGCAATGTCCCTATGAACCTGCCCTCTATGTGAAGAAAAATGGAAGTGATTTATTACTTGTTACACTCTATGTTGATGATCTTATCTTTCTAGGCACTGATGTTTAGATTATCGAAGACTTCAAAAGCACCATGACAAGCGAATTCGAAATGACATACTTAGGTCTGATGAGATTCTTTCTTGGTCTGGAGGTTCGACAAGAAGAAGCTGAAATTTTCATCTCACAAGAAAAATATGCAAAGGAAATCTTAGAAAAATATAAAATGAAGAATTGTAATCCAACTTCGACGCCAATGGAACCAGGTACAAAACTGTCAAAGTTTGATGGAGGAGAACGGGTCGAAGGAAGCAAATATCGAAGCTTGGTAGGTAGCCTTCGATATCTCACATGCACAAGGCCAGATATTTCACTAAGTGTTGGCATAGTGAGTCGATTCATGGAGGAACCAGTACACACACATTGGAAGGCGCTGAAACGAATTCTAAGATACATCCAAGGAACAGTATCACTAGGGATGTTTTATTCAAAAATAGAAGACTACAAGTTAGTTGGTTATTCTGACAGTGGCTGGTGTGGAGACATAGACGATCGAAAGAGCACTGCTGGATATGTGTTTTTCATGGGAAACACAGCTTTTACTTGGCTATCGAAGAAGCTGCCTATAGTGACACTTTCGACGTGTGAAGCAGAATATGTGGCAGCATCCTGGTGCGTCTGTCATGCAGTATGGCTCAGAAGGTTGATAAGCAAGATGGAGCTGAAACAGGGAGGTCCAACAATAATACAAGTGGACAATAAATCAGCTATCGAATTGGCAAAGAATCCAGTGAATCATGAACGAAGCAAACATATAGACGTTCGATTTCACTTCATTCGTGAACATGTGAAGGAGGGAAGCGTCGAATTAAGGCATGTAGCAAGCAGAAACCAAGCAGCGGATATCTTTACAAAACCACTATCAAAAGAAGTCTTCGACAGAGGCAAGAAGATGATAGGAATGCTGGATGGAAGAAACATTTAAGTTTACAGAGGAGTTTTGTTGAATAAACATTAAATCTGTTAGTAATAAAGTTTTACATTAAGTATGGTAGTAGGAAGGACAAAAGTTTTATAAGTTATGATAGTTTATTAGTAGCATTTATGTTTATGTTTTAGAATTATAAAAGTTATTTGGGTCTATAAAAGACCAAGTGTGTAATTTATTTGACAAGAACAATATACAAGTTTATACATAAGTCTTATTCGTTTATAACAATTACGACATAAACAAAATAAGCCGCATTGACAACTACGATTTAAGTGGAAGCAAGATCCTCAAATCAAAAACTCGTGATCCCATCTAGAAAAAACATTTTCATATATTTCAAAAGTTGTGGTTTACATTAAGAGTAAAAACTAATTTAAATAAAAATATACTTAATCTTAATGAAATTACTTAATGAACATGCATCCTACAACAAACTTGTCAAACACACACTAGATTATATGTTCCAACTCAATTTTTTCAAACACAAAAGTCAGAAATCAAATCCTGATCATTTACTTTGAAGTTCAAAATTCCTTCTCACTCAAACCAACTAAATTTTTGCAAAGAGAGAAGCACTTTTATCACATACAACCCGTGTTCATGTTTCTACAGTTATGTCAGTTGCTACAAATCAGTAGAAAAGAAAAAGTTACATGGCACTACTGTCTCTTGCACTTTGAACCTTATAATTGGGGCAGAGGTGGGTGAAGGACTTAAAAACTGAGCACTGTCTGAAAGTGACCTCACAGTACAGGAAATGGAATGCCCCTTACATATTATCTCACCATAATTAATTCCCACTTCTCTTTTCTCATTTGCCAACCAAACTATAGAGATTGGGGACCATACATGTATTACAAATAAAGAATGATTCATTTCTTATTCACATTAAGACCTAGGGACATAATACATATGACAATTAACATATTATGTAACTTATGTCAACAATTTGTCTATAAAACTCGATTTAACTGATTTATTGATATTAGAGTAGTCTAAGTTTTATGAGGTTCTATGTTGGTTAAACACAATTTATTTCTGTTAAAATAAATAGAGGTTTTATTTAATTATATTTTAACTATGATAATATTTTGAATCATGTATATCAGTCCACCTTACACGCTCTCAAAGACGAATTATGATTGATATTATTAAGTTGAATACTGTGTCTTAAAAAAAGTTTTTATCTCTCCATTTTTAAACTAAAAAATATATAAACCTTAAGTAGATGATGATGATAAAAAAAAAACTTAGATTAACCTATGAAGGAATTAATTAAGGACTATTTGATTTTGGGGTTCTTAGGTTTCAAATTTGGCTAGCAAGGTGTTAGTACACAACAAGTTATTGTTTTTTTTTTTCCTTTTAGCTACCAATTAACCTTTACTTTAGCTTTGCATCTTAATCAATGCCACTGCACTTTAAACAGCACCTAGTCAAAAAAACAATACAATATTTGTGATAAATTAGATACTAAAGTCCCCAATCTTATATAGTCTTCTCCTTAATCATCTTTAACCGAAATAGGAACAACCATGAGTTTTTAGGGAAAAATATTCTCTAACTGCATCAACCTTAAAATACTTTAGCTCTCTCATATGATTTTTTTATATAATTAAAAAAATGATTTAATGTGTTATATATATGTATATGAATAAGAAATAAAAAAGAAAAAGAGAGAGAGAGAGAGAAGGATTGAAAATGACAAAGAGCATGGTATGTTTTGAACTTAAAAGCTAGAGTTGAAACATAGACAAAAAATACAACACAAGCCTTTATAGTACAATTGATTTTTTCTTTTGGTGAAATAAGGAACATCTAACATGTCTTTATAATCAAATCAAACTGAAGACAAACTTGGACAAGACACAAACAACAAAACCAACCTATCTTCACTCTTGACAACATAATAGAACCACAAATGCTTGTAAGAGAAAGCATTCGAAAAACCAAATATTTACTTCACAAAAAACTCAAAAACTTCAAATGTCTCATCTTTGGAGGATACCAAAAACTCCCTAGAGCTCTTTCCTTCAAACCATTCTTACGTCAAACTCGAAGTAACAACAATAGTTCAAGAACAACATACACGAGTGATCAATTCTATAACGAGTTTTACGATATTCTTCAATCCGATCTCAATAGAATGAGTCGAAGCAGCGAGATTGCACCAACCCGAGACGCCGCAGCAGCTGCAAGTAATGAAAAACAAAGTCCACAAAAGAACATTACTGAAAATGTAGCTACGGAGAAGAAGAACAAGAATGAAGGAGTTCATGAATTGGCATTGAAGATGAAGGAATTGGAGATGAATGATTCAGGTGATGTTGAACAGGTTCTTGATATAGAAGAAGCACTTCATTACTATTCTCGTCTTAAGAGTCCGGTTTATTTAGATATTGTCGACAAGTTTTTCACTGACATGCATTCTGAGTTTTCTCTTTCACAATCTTCTGTTAGAAACAAACATTCTAAGACAAAAGGAAGATTTGGAGCAATAAGGTTGTAGATAACATAAATCTTAATTCTTGTTTCGTGTATATCAAATGTGTTTTTTTCTTTTGTCACTCTTGTGTTCAAGGCTTTGAGACTTTGAGTTTCTTTGGTTTAATTTCAGGTATTTTATTATTTTATTTTATTTTTTTTGTATTTTTTCTTTTGGTTAGTTCATGCTTGAGTTTTATTTATATTGTCCATTCATCTATAATGAAATTGCTTATATTTTTTTTTTCATCTTGAATGATTTATTATTTGAGTTTACATCTTGTTTCTCGATTCTCATAGAGATGCTTGGTATTGGTAGAATTTTCAAACCTAGTTTTGTTAGTATTTGATAAGAAGGTAAGAGAACACAAATGAATTTGATTTTTTTTGAAACATTAAACTCCCCTGGTTTTAGCGCAAAAAATACAAAATTATCTTCCAATAAATTTATTTACAAAATCAAATATATTTTTTAAAGATTATTTTTGAGTGAGTTATATTAACGAAAGAATGTAATGTTTTAAATTTTTTTAAATTATTTGGACAAAATTTGATGTTTAAGTTTATTAAAATAATGAAAATATATGAAGTGTTTTGTTCTAGTTAAATTCTATTATTTTGAAATGATAGTTAAAGCTGAATAATTTTAAAGAAAAAATTTAGATGTATTTTTTTAGGTGTGATTTATATTTTTTTCAATGAAAATATGATAAGTATATAATTTTCTCATACATATATGTATTTTTTTTTTAATTTTACTTCTTAAAAGATATTTTGATATATTTGTCATACTTTTATTTGAGAAAAGGATAAACTACACTTATAGAATTGTATCTAAGTATTTTTCTAATTTCAAATTTCTCTAATATTCCATAGAATTTGAATATCAAATTGGTCAATGTTATTATTTCAAATTTTGCAAATCGGTCCTCATGTTTTTCAAATTTTCAAAATAGGTTCTCAATTTTTTTTTTAAAAATTGAAAATTAATCCTTAATCATATTTAAATTAATCCTTTAAATTTTAAAATTGTAAATTAGCCCCTATTTTTTAAATTTAAAATTTGATCCTAAAATTTTAACATTTATACAATAGACTCCAAAAGTTTTATCTTAATATTTTATCCAAACAAAAAAAAATTTAAAAATTAATTTCAATTAAATCATCTAAATTATTTTAAATTTTAAATTTTAAAAAAATTTAAAATTACTATCCAGTGCATCCCAACACATTCTAAATGTTTTTTTTTAATCAAATCATTTTAGTATTCAAATGTGTTTTTGTTAGTAAATTTATCAGTAAAATTATAAATAAAATAGACATTTGGAATTTTGATACTCTTAGTGTATCAACCCATTTTCTCATAGGCATGTAGGGATGTCAGTTTGGACCTGTTAATGGAGATCCCCGCGGGAAACGCCCCGTTCGGGGCCCCAAAGATGGGGAATTTTCCTCCGTGGGGGCGGGGATGGGGAGAAAAATTCCCCCGAGAGCATTTCGGGGACGGGGACGGGGAATACACCCCCCGCCCCGCGGGGACCCCGCGGACCCCGCCCCGCCTATTATTTTAATATAGTTAATTTAATATATATATATTTTAGATTAAGTTTTTTAGTCATTTCCTTTATGTTTATTTATAAAAATAAATAAATAAATATTCATGTATTTATTAAGAGAGAGACATGATTGATCATTACTTGTTTGGATATTTTGCTTAATATTTTAGTTTATTTATATGTAACTTTGTTTTAAGTATTTTGATATTTCTACTTTACGTGTGTTATCAATTGAGCAAATAGAGATATGTTGACTTTTGCTTTTAGTTGACTTATTATGAAGTATTTTTTAGCTTTTCAAGCATACTCATGATGCTAAATTTTATAATTATCCCTTATTAGTTTTGATGAAGTATAGTTTTTTAAGCATAATTATGTTGTTGGATTTTTTTAGTTGTTTATGCATATTGTTACTTTAAAAAGTATTATAGTTCATTTTGTTGAATTTTATAGCATTTTATAGAAATTTATAAAAAAAATATTATTATTTTGTGTTCCATTAGTATTTTTAATAAAAAATAATAAATGCCAAATACTAGTATTTTTAATAACATAATAAATATGTGAATTCTTTGTGCTTTTTATTTTTATAGAAAATATAAACATTTTAAAAAAATAAAATATTAATGAATAAATGTAGGATCTATGGGGATTCCCGCGGGGAACGGGGATGGGGATAGAAATTCCCCCGTGACGGAGATCGGGGACGGGGACGGGGAATGAATTTGATGGCGGGGAAAAAGATGGGGAAGTGTCCCCCCGCCCCGCCCCGCCCCATTAACATCCCTATAGGCATGTTACCTATACACCGTTGACCGCCATATTTATATGATCAACAGTATTTTTTTAATAAAATAGTATTATTTAAAAAAAATGTATTTTTTAAATTTATTTTATAATATAAATATAAGATTGTGTCATTAATCAACTTTATAATTGAATTAGTCATAAAATTATACGTTATTAACTAATTATTTTATTTATAATTTATTAACCACTTTCACTATTTTATTAACCAATGAAATATATATTATTAACCATATTATGACACTAAATTATAAATGTATTAACTAATTTTTACACTCTTTTAATCTATTTTATTTTATTATTGATAGATCTAAATTTTATTATTGACACTAAATTATAAATGTATTATAGATTTAAATTTTTTTATATTGAAAAATTTACTATTGATTCAGATATTTTTGTAAACGATATCTAAACAAAAATAATTTTTGTATACAAGAAAAAAATTATTATTGATCTAAATATTTTTATATACAGAAAATGATATTTATGATTTAAATATTTTTGATTCAATTAATGATATACGGTAAAAATATCTATTATTGATCTAAATATTTATATACGAAAATTTACTATTGATCTAAATATTTTTGATAACGATATCTATACAAAAATAATATTTGTACACGAGAACATGAAGTTATTGATCAAAATATTGATTATTAACAGGAATATGAAATTACTGATTAAGATTTTTTTTTTATTAATTACACATTTAATTATTTTTTTTTATGGATACTAAATATTTTTCTACTAAAAATATACATCTAAAATAAATGTGCGTCTTATACCAAAACCCATGCGAATGCGCGATTTGTTTCTGGTTAGACTTATGATGAAAAACTGATTTAAAATGGTTCAAATATATTGACTATTCAATAAATTTATAAAAAGAATATTTAATGCCAGAGTGAAATTGCAGAACTTAAATATATTTGTTTGATATACTAACATATTACCACTTCAATCTCTAATTATAAAACTCTCTTTGATTTTTTTCTTGACTCTTTTCAACTTTCAAAATACTTTAATTATTTTTTTTCCAAACACATCTTTAATTATATTATATCTTCTTCTCTAATTACTAATAAATACACATGTATAAACGTTAATTAATTTTATCTTTTCAGAATAAAATTGAAAATTATATAAATAATCAATAAATTTAATATTCTAATTAATTTTCTTAATTTACGTAATTTTATCTACATAATCTTATATTTAGGAACGGAGATAATAATAAATGATTATCTTCTTTATAATCTTTAAACAATGTTAACAATACATGGTTTCTCAATTTTTTTTTAAAATTCAACTAAGCCTATGTTTGAAAATCTTTTAAAATTACGGTGGTTTAAAAAAGTTACCAATAGTAGCTTTAGAAAATCAGGGTGAGAAGCATTTGAACTTGAGGTGGCGGTAGGTGACTTTGATTCCAAACACACTTAAGATGTCTAAGCAGATCTTCTAACATCTAGCAGAGAAATGCATTTATTGAAAATGGCTGAGAAATGCATTTATTGAAAATGGCTGTCCATACAAAATCAGAACGACTACTTGTTACTTCCTCCGGTCATAATTATAAATTAAAATAATCACTTTCACATTTGTTAAAAAAATTAATTAAATATAATTAATTTTCTTGATTTCATGTATAATCAAAATAAAATTTATTATAATATTCTTAATTATATTAAATAAATTAATTACCAACATTAAATTCTTTAGAATTAAATTAGGACTATCATAATAATACAAACATTAATTAGCTTAAATGTTAATGACTTTTGCTTATAATAGTGACCAAGATTTAAGGTCTTTTTTACTTATAATAATAGTGACCGGAAGAGTACATAAATGTGCATTTATTTTGCAAAATGAAAAGCTTTATCATTTCTGGTCCATTAAAAAAAAGCTCAAACTTTGTTATTTCATGCTGTAATGAAGCATATTTTGAAGGCTTACATAACTTAAATAGATTGAAAAGTGAATCCTTCTAAAGAAAATTATTAATCATACTGGTATAAAATGTCAAACAGAAAAATATATCGGTATTCCATAATTCCATTGATCAATCAAACATCAATTGAGAGCTTTATACATTACCTAAGGCATGCAACAACAATTGCGCATAAAACCAATACATGTCTACTTTCTTCACAGGGTGAAGAGAGAAATATGAAAACTCCATTCTCCAGTTTCCTGAGTAGTTTGCCAAGGCACAAAATCATGATAAATTATATCAAATTAGTGCCACGGTATATTCCAGATCTCAACCTTCCACTGAATCACAGAAATGCATGATTCCAACCCACCTAAAATAAACCTTTCTCACAAGGAGTCTTTTTTAAATGATACTAGTAACCAGAAGATGAAACCAAAATATTATGTTCCTTTAAACGTTTCTGAAAATGAGCTAAACGGTTTTGCAACTGCAGAATGCCAGCAGCCTTCTGAGATAGAATGGTGTTAAGTCTTTTTACGTAATCGTCCAGCTGATTCCCTGGTTGACCCGCTTCAACCAAGAGGTTCATCTCCTGCATATCAAGTGCAGATAAAATATGAATTTGAAAAAATAATGTTTGGGGGGATTATCACCTAAATTGAAGCCGTTTCATAACTAGTTAAATACTTAGAAGGTTAAGACACCCGAAGCGATAGATAGTAAAATAGACAATTTAATACCTCTTTAACAATATTCATGGTCTCCTCTACTTGTGTCCGGTGAGCATTTACTAGATCCTCTTCTTCCTGAAATTACAACACAACACGCTTTAGGTAACAATGAGCACAATGTTATTTATATGATAATCATTATCTTGGTAGCCAGTAAATTACCTGTAAGAGGGCACTCAATTCATCCTCCTCTGAATTAGTGGGTTTAGGTTCAGCTTTTGGGAGGTCCTTCCATTTGACCAGACCACTAGGTTTCTTCAATCTGTCATCTGTCATTGCATATGACTCCATCCTTACATTTTTCTTCAATGGTGGTTTCACCTGCTCATAGTACTCTTCAGGGGGGCTAAAATCATCCCCTTCATTTTCATCTTGCCATGCATCAGCTGTATGATCTTCATAGACCGGTGCAGTAGCAGAAGATAAGGGAACTGAAATTGATTCTTTAAGGTTGAAATTCGACGATAAAACATCCTTCTTTGAGTTGTTCCCTTTTGACAGGCTTTTAACCCTGGATTTTCATTCAGTTCATAGCAATGAAATTTGTCATGTCGATGGCTATAGTCAACTATTGTATCTTGTGTGAGGTGTGGTGTAGATGACTTGAGGAGATAAGAACATTATTAAAAATACCATTGTTACCTGTCAGCATATCTTAATGTATTCAGAGTGTGCTCGCATGAGCCAGAGCTTGGTGATATACATGATATCATAACAGTACGGGAATTCCCAACAAAAGAATCCCGCAAAACTTCAGTCAGTTTGCTTCCCCTGAAAGGGATGTGTCCTTGGTCATTATCAAGAGCTCTTATGCACTCCTTTAGGGCGAGTAAGCTCTTGTTGATTTCAGCCCCTTCTATTCTGTATCATAAAATTGGAAATGGCCGTGAATAATAAGAAAAAATCATCAGACTAGGGACACAAATAATTCACGATACTATGATAGCATCCCGGATCTGATATATCTTTGACCTTGAAAACAGTACACGGCCAAAACTGGAGCTTAACTGGATCTAATTTAAATTTCTAAGGAATTGTTTGAGAAAGGAAGCAAGATAGACCCACCCTATCAATTCAAGCTAAAACATACCTTGTCTGTTTATCATTGTCAGTAGTATCTGCTCCACGTTCACTTCCAGCAAGATCTATGAAGGAGAGCTTGCCAACAAGTCGGGGAGGTTTGGATTCGCTGCCATCAACTGACCTCTTAATAGCAAGTTGAAGTATAGCATGGGAGCGAGAAGATTCCTCATTTGCACCTGTGGTTCCTGTACTTCTTGTGGCACTTCCTTTCTCAATCAGGTCTTTGATGTGCTCCACATCTGCTACACGATACTCTTGCAAACCAACAATGCAAACTTGCTGCTTTCCATCCTCCCTCATGCAAAGCTTTCTGCAAAAATACAACTTTTAACTTCCTGAACACAGACTAAAATGCAATTAAGAAAGAACGTGACTTACTTTCTATCATTAAGGAGATCATAAAGCTTCCCGCCATATATTTCAAAGAAACTCACGAACAGTTGAAATCCTTGGTTCCGATAAGTATGATGCATCAATCTTAGGATGTCCCTTGATGCTTTAAGTGGCAGTGGCTTCATCGTGTAGGTTTTTCCACTTCCTAGAAAAGCAAATGCAGTTATTTAGAAGTTTGCTCATTCTAATAGAACAAATTGTCAAAGTCAAATTGGTATAAATATCGGCACATAATAATCAAGATTTGCTTTCAAAAGTCTCAAGAATGTATGTTTGATATAGAACTAAATGCAAGCATTGATTTAGGAATATCTATAACTAAAATACAATACTCAAACTAAATGAATATATATATAAACTGAAAAGAAATATCAGAAAATTACAAAGAGATGTATGATTTCAAGTGGAAGTATCACTTAATAAATAGACATAAAATCGGATTATTTTCAGGCAAGATGTAATAGCAATCAAATTGAATATGAGAGGCTGTTATCACCTGTTTGCCCGTAAGCAAAGCAAGTTGCCTTAGTGCGTTCGAAGATGATTGGTACTATGGGTTCCACTGTTTCACGGTACACCTAAAAAGAACAAAAATGTTATATGGATAGTTACAGAAGCAGGGATATATCTTTTTTTTGTTAATGGAAAGCAGGGATATATCATATATGATGTTGATCCCTAAATTAACCACATTATAGTTACCTCATCATTTGTAACCTCTTCATTCAAGACAGCATCAAAAACAAATTCATGCTTCTCCATGTACTGAGTTAAGTCAACCTGTAAAACATATATATATTTTGAAATCTACAAATATAGAACATATAGACTTCCAAGCCAAAACCTTTTCAAAAGAAGTGACAAGTGAGGAGTTAGTGGGTAAAATACTATTACTTTGTTCCATTTTATTCTTTTGAAGGCTTGTTTAATTTCTAACATAAAGATACAGATAATCAATCACACTCACCTTCAGTTTGGTTTCATGCACTGTCATAGAATTGGAATACGTTTCTATAATGTCTTCCTCGTTCTTCGCTAATTCCTTTTTATTCAATGGTCTCTTACGAACCTGCATTAAAGAGTGACAAACAAGTATTATCCAAACAAAATTTAAATGCTCTTCACAAATAACAACTGGACAACATTAGAGTTTAGATTCAGTTCTATGAGAACTACTCTAGGTATTGTGACAATGCAGTTTCAAATATACCCGCAAACAATCAATCAGCAAAAACAATTCAACTGAAAAGTGAACGAATCAATTAAAAATGAAATAAGCATGATAAAATGAGAAATGCAAGAGAACATACCACAACTTTAATTTTCGCCACGGAACTAGACTTTTCTTTGTCGGCCGGTAAACTTTTCACTGCATTGTCAGGAGCACGAGCCTTGGCAGTCTGTTTGCTCATGTAAGGTTCAGAGTCATCAAAGCTTCTACCACGGTAGAGAGAGTTGGACTCATATGCGTTGGAGGTTGGAATCTACCACAACAGAGATAAACAAATTAGATTCAAAATTAAAAATGAGATTTTATACTATCTAAATAACAGTACTTGCATTTTCAAGACTTTATGCTTGCTGGTTTTGTTTCATATTCACATTTACCTACTTCCTACCCTAGCGGGATATGTCTTGGTTGTCATTGGTGGTTGTTAGTCTAATTTAAAAATAAATAAAAAATACTCATTGCCGAATATTCTGCAACATTCACTTTTTGCAGATTCAGCAAACCTTAAAACCCTCTTGCAGTCCTCACAAGAGAAGGGTTCATCTCATTGTATTTAATCGACACACAAAAACAAATCAACTATCACATCAGATTGAGGAAGTACTATAAAACTCAACCTATAAAAATGATTAATAGTTTTTCTTTGGAAAAAGCTAATTGCTTTAAACCAAAAAACAGTCTAATCAAAGTGTAAGCAGTACTTTGCCAAGACCCTTATACAAAATTGGTACAATATGCAGCAAAACCCACCCAAAACTAGCAGGGGAAAAAACAGTCCGGTCAATGAAATTGAACAAACAAGAAATTAACAGTTAAACTTCAAAATTAGGGCTAACGATCAATACAAATTTAGCCTAGTGTGAACATGTATGTCTAAGTACCAATACATTCAATGTAATACCAAACACAAATACAGTAATAGAGTACGGTCAATGAAATTGAATAAACAACAACAACCTCAGTAAGAAGCTCAGTATCAAACGAATGCAGATCCAACAAGCCAGGACTAAAATCACCAGTCAAATCTTCGCCACTCAACTTCAGTGTCGACGCACCGCGATAAGCATCAGGAGGAGAAGCAGGCTCCATATAATAATCACTCCCTCCTCCATTAAAACTTCTCTGACCATTCCTATACATTCTCCCTCCCTGCGCTCCACCTCCGCCATACAAATTATAATCCTACTCAAATTTCAAACAAATCTCAATCAAATTTCAAACAAAATTTCAAACAAATTTCGAACAAATTCAAAATCTCACTAGATCAAATCAATATAATCAATAAACGCATAGAGAATGAGAAATTGATGAAAATCGATGGAACGAACCTGGAGAGGATTCACGGCGGAGGAGGATTGAAGATGTTGAAGTCCAGCAGATTGAAGCCATCGGTTTCCGGTGGAGGCGCCGTCGAGGAAGTTATCGGAGTATTGCCGTTGGTGGTGAACGCCGGTGGCACTAGATCTAAGTCCTTGTCTTCCTCCACCGTTCATTTTCACTTCAACCAGATCGGAATGTTCTAGAACTGCAATGGAGTGAAACCAAAGATAAACACGACGCAACAACAACAACACAACGAAATGAATGAAGGAAAGAATAGAGATTTTGAAATTTTTTTGAATAAAAGTTGGCACGTGCGAGGCATGAGGGGTTAAAACGACGACGTTTGGACGGGGCCGCTGTAGTATTTTGGTGGTGAAGTAGGCCCCGTTGTATTTTGAACTTTGTCCCGTTTCTCACATGGTGGGGACCACCGTTGTCTAGTATGAATTATCGTTGCGCGCTTGGCTTCGCATTCAAAATTTCTACGATTTTTTTTTTTGAAGTTTAGTAAGGTCCACGTGGCAATTTTTTGAATTGAGTTTTTGTTTCGATGGTTATGAAACGGATCGATTTGCGGCGCTTCCCCGCTCCATGTTGG